AACTTTATTTTTATGGTGTAGAATAAGAATAATTTATTGGGGTTTATGGACACAGCTAGAAATTTTGTAGGGAAAATATTTTTTTAAAAGTTTATCTATACCTAAAGGAAAAGATAGTCAGCAGTCAGTGAATGTAGGTTTAAGTAGGTGTATGGCACAGACAGTTGTGAATGTTTGTAGAAACAAAAGATACAAACAAAAGTATGCAAGATTCCTTGCAGGTGTGGTGGTTGAATATACGTTAGATATATATGATTGTTTTCAAAAGCGTTTAAAATTCTACTTTCTTGGATTTTATCCTAATTAAAATAAAAAAATCAGAGTTAGAAGAAAATGAGATAATTTTATAAGTCGTGTCTTTATATATTTGTGAATTGTAAGTGCTGCCATGTCTCTATTTGGGTGGCAGAGCTTTAAGGGAATTTATATACTGTAAATCACTTTTTCATTCGCGAGAACTTTATTTTCGCGTAATTACCCGAGACTGTCTGCTCGCGAAAATTTAATTCTAGCGTATATTTGTAGTACAAAAGATTATATAGAACAATAACCAGAGTTCGTAAAAATTATGTCTCGCTTATACATACCAAATGGCCATCTCGCGAAATTAAGTGTCGCGAAAATTTGGTGATCTACAGTATTCGTCGCTTACAATTTTCGCATATCAGATAAATCCTTTTTTAATTTATTTTAATTAATTTATTTATTTATTTTTGAAGAAAGGTATTTTACGTTGCGCAAGTAAAATATGAATATGACTGTAAATTCGTGCTCCCTAAGCGTAATCCTTAAAGAAGATTTTATAAAGTTTAAATAAGTTTTTTATATATTTTATAGTTTACTGATTGTGGTACATCTATCTATAGTGATTAGTCTTAAATTATAATTATTTTTAGAGTTTGAAAAATTTTGACTAATCAACGACTAATCCAGATTTACAAAATTATTTGGTAAATGCAACTTAAAATTATTAATGGAAAGTAGAAAATATTTTTATCTAAAAACTTTTAGCCAAATGCTATCAAAATAGATAGATGAGGGTTACAACAAATCTCATTGACTCATGATTTATTAAAAAATGGAAATGAAAGAAAAAGTAGTTATATAATCATTTATATTTAGTGAATATTTCAAATAAATTTACTTTCAATAAATAATAAATAACATATGTATTTCCTTAAAGTCTTTATTCATATGAAAACTCTCTTTAAAATTCTATATGCAGACATATCTGGCATAGTTTTTTTTCCTTTGATAATTTTGCTTTTTATTTATGAATTTATTCATTTAACTACTTACATATTTACTTAATTAATGACTAGGTAATTAAAGTAAAAAAAATATGATTTAACTTGAGAAGTGGCTTTCCCAATATATTGTTTTTATTATTTTTGACATGTATATCGAGAAATCATGCATTGCACAAACATGTTGGTAGACAAAAATTTAATGAATTAATATCGAAAGACTTTCAATGACAACACATGACACCCGACGAAGTATAGATGAAACTTGCTGAACCACCACGATTCTTTCTCCCATGAAACATGGTATAAATTCTTTAAAAAGTGAGCTGCTCATGCGCACACTTTGTTTTGGCCCTCGTAAATGTATATAGCTGAAGTGTTGAGGTCGGCAAACATTTATTTGACTAAATCCATTTCCCCGTGAAAAATGAGGTTTCATTATTTTTTTATTATCAGAATTACCATAACCTTGGATAAGAATTAAGGTATTTCTTAAACAAATCATATGGTAAATACAACGTATTTTCTTTATTGAAAACGGACCATACGTTACGTTACAGACCATAATACTTTTCATAAAACAGCATGTGAAATGAAACGTGTCTGACATGTAGTTTTCATACGTGTGGTCCATAACTTCCTACATCGTTCAATATAGAAAAAAAATCTACAAAACGGGAAGTAAAGGCTAAATATAAGATACTACGGTAGTAAAACATACTGTCAACTAGATCAGCTTGGGCGAGCGTTCCTACAGTAGAGGCTCATAAATTAGGCAAAGAAATTAATTTCATTGCTCTGGCACATTCTCCGTCCTAAAGGGTTTCAGTTTGCTAACAGTCGGTGTTGTTTCTTACGATCTGGGCTTCTACAAGGCCATTTTTGTCTAGTTCTACGTGTATTGCACATATATCATTTTTGAATTATATAAATTGACCTTCGCAATGATTAAGGATCTAAGGGTAGTGGAAAATTTCAATGATCAGAAAAAGGTTAAATATGGAAGCACACACCCATATATTGTAAATACAAATAGTACATGTATATATCAATTTGGATTTTTCTTTCATATAAATATGCATTTTATTGATATTTGCAAAAAAGAACAATAGAGGCTCATAAATTAAGCAAAGAAATTAATTTCATTGGTCTGGCACATTCTTTGTCCTAAAGGGTTCAGTTTGCTAACAGTCAGTGTTATTTCTTACGATCTGGGCTTCTACAAGGTCAATTTTGTCAAGCCTTTAGTGTATTGCACATTTATCATTTTTGTATTATATAAATTGACCTTCGCAATGTTAAGGACCTAAGGGTCGTGGAAAGTTTCAATGAGCAGAAAAAGATTAAATATGGAAGCAAACACCCATATTCTGTAAATACCAATAGTACATGTATATATCAATTTGGATTTTTCTTTATAATTCATATAAATATACATTTTATTGATATTTGCAAAAGGAATTCTCATTGGAAATCACAATATGTTACAGGGCTTCATAAAATCCAATTAGCGGAGTCTGTCAACGCTACATATTTCCCTGTATTTTTTTAAATTTTTATTTGAGTTATTTCTTTTTTTTGAATATCCAACATATTCCAGCAATTTAATGTTACCCCCTTTCCTAAGTCATGTAAAAATCAGTTGCTCCCTGCTCATCACCGGAAGATGGAAGTAGGAATTATTTGTGTTTTATTAGTTTCATCTTAATCAATCTCCAACTTAAACTGAATAAATTGATTTGAAATGTACTTTGGGTGAATTCTATATTAGTTTCTAAAAGACTAAGCAAACTAATTATTCGGAAATTTTTAAAGATTTTAATTCAGAAACTTTTCAGGACAATTTTATTGCCGAAAAAGTGCTTTTAATAAATGCCGGAAAAGAAAAGTCGTATAATTTCAACAACAACAAAAAAAGTCGGAAATGAAATGAAGTCAATTTGTGACCTCTGTAGAAATCGATTTTAGTATTTAAAACATGCTTAATATTATATTTTGAGCTTTGACATGTTTTCCGAGAATCATTTAAAAAGAGTGCTCAAATATGGCCATTGATTTATCTCTTGGTTTTGAAACGACTGAAGAATCCATAATTGTGTTAAATGATTGATTTGGAAACTTACAATTCTTTATTTTGGTTCATGAATTATATTATAATAGTTTTGGCTGAAGACATGCATATAATGAAGTCCTGTTGTATACTTGTAAACCCAAGTGTCTTTTTTATTTTATTTTTTCTCTATGGACTACATCGAACAAACGTACTTATTGCTGGGTGTATTTTTTAAATATTTCTCATTGCAATATAATCTAGAAGTAAGACAAAGTGATTTCTTTACAATAACTGATATACCATAACACTGCTGCGTGTACTACTGGTAATTCGGCCATCTTAGTTTTTTAAATGGATCCCGGCCACAAACTGCAAAAATAGAAAATTTCATATTAATATTATTTTTTAAATAATCTTTTGGTGATATCTTGATTTATCCGTTTTAAATATTTAATTTAAGTTATACCATTTTTATATCGATGCACTCCTACTTCAGACTGTTAAACATAAAAATACGCAGACGCACATGTACATACATGCAATTGTAATGCAGTATCATGCCAGACATTTAGTACCGTTTCTTTTCAATTCAGTAATGTCTCCCAACGACTGTAAACAACGCTGCACCTTGACTGCAAGACAGAAAGCTATGTAACAACATGCGATTTCACACCAAGAGCATTCTCCTTCCATGTCACCGTAAAACAATGTCCAAAGGCTACCGTCCGCCAGCAACGAAGAACACAAGTGGTCCGCTACTAATAAGCACATTTGACGTGAAGCGCGTGCGAGTGAATATGACATTAAGTAATGGTCAACGCTTTTTGTGTATTACGTTCAATTAATTACGTGATGAAACATCGGTAACCAGCGTAATTAATTTTTACGACATAGTGTTACGCGTTTTTTTTTCTTCTTTTGATTTATGGCTATATGTGTCAAGCGTTGAGATGACTCAGGTCGGTGGTCGAGAGTAATGACTCTCTATGGTCAATAAACAACAATCGACAAATAGATCAATAGAATATGTCGATTGTATAGTAAATATTATTGATGAGTAACATTGGTATCGTTCTATTGTTTTGTTTCCCACAGATAGGTACCAACGAAATTTCGTGACAACATAGACCCTTTGAATCACAATGGTGCTTTTACACAGCCATTGGGAATCAATCCAATAAAAAAAAGAAAATTTATTTTAAAACATTTAATCTATAACTTTATCAAAATAGATTCTATTTAAAAAAAAAATGAAAATTTATTTTAAAACATTTAATCTATGACTTTATCAAAATAGATTCTATATTTTTTTCTCGAGAAATTTCTGATTCATATTTGACACTGTAAACAATAATGTCCAATCTTATATATGATACTTTGCAAAGAGTTTTTCTTAACTTAAAAATTTATTATAAGAATTTTTCCCTTTATTTCATATTTCTTGTGATTCAAATAGTGATATAAATAAACTTAAATCTTCAAAGTAAAGAACATAAACGAACGAGTCGGCGAGCTTTAAAGTATATGTTTTTAACCATTACTGTAAGAACTACAATCATGCAAAAGTCATTACAGTCACCCAAGATGTTATCCTACAAAACAAAACCAATAAGGAACATTTTTTTATTCCCGGACATTACTAAATGTCTGATTGATGGGCTTAATTAATCACAACAGGTACTTGGAAGAAGGAGCAATAAATGTGTCCATGGTCACTGGGACATTATCTACTTCGAGAGTATATAAGGAGACCGGTCCGAAACTCAGACCAGACAGAAATCGCTCGTCAGTAGAGAAAGGTAAGAAATCCTGAGAAGTATTCTGGGTACGAATAAGTAAAACTGTAAGATTACTGAAATTTTATCTAATCAGGATTTATGGATAAAATTATTTTTTACATACATGTATCAGGGAAAATACTCGACATATAATCATTGTAATTTGCTTTGTTTTTTTTTTCTCCTTTTGAAAGAAAATGTTCATCTTTTTTTATTATTCTTTCATGATTTTATTGTAATTTTTTTTTAATTTCTGTCGGAACAAAATATATTCGGATGGATTGATATACTGCAACCGGAAATACATGTATTTATATTAATGTTATTATTAGTATATATTTACATTTCCGATGTCTTTGTCCGAGATAAAATTACAAATTGTAAAAACACTTTATTTCTACATAAATCTACTAGTTCATCGATAGGCGCGGTTAAAAAAAAATCACGTGCGGGGCGGGACAAACGCAGACAGAAGCGGGGCTATTAGCACGGGAATTTGCAGAATCAGGAGCATGTAAATATAAGGAATAACTGTCAGATTTTTTGGATTCATGACGATGATCAATCGATTGGCTTGCGTGATAATTTTATGCATAAACGCCTTCGGCGTTTTTGCAAATTATCACGCAAGCCACTCGATTGATCACATCATGAATCCAAAAAATTAGACAGTTATTCCTTAAATAAATATGCTATAAATCTTAACCAAGGTTTCTATAATCTAGACTATTCAGATTTATAGCCTATTTGGATAAATTGGGCTAATTCTTTATGCTTCAATCTGAAAAAAAAAATCTACTCAAAGAGCAAAAATAATAGTATTTAACTGATGGTAAATTTCTGTACTAATTTTCTAAAATCCAACTCTTAACAAAAATGTGAAAAGTAAATGTGTTCTTTTATAGTTTCCAGTCCCGCCATTCAAAATGCTGAAATTCGTGTGTCTCGCCGTCTGTGTTGTCTACGTTAGCGCCACCTGGGGTAGAGGATATGGTGGTGGATATGGCGGTGGATATGGAGGTGGATATGGCGGTGGATACGGAGGTGGATATGGCGGAGGATACGGAATAGGTGGAGGATTTTATGACGACGGATATGGAATCGGAGGTGGATACGGTGGGTACGGAGGTGGATACGGCGGTGGTGTTATCGGAATTGGAGGTGGATATGGAGGTGGATACGGAGGTGGATATGGAAAAGGAGGTGGATACATCATCGGAGGTGGAATCGGAGGATACAGTGGTGGATATGGTGGTGGATACGGTGGTATTGGTGGTGGATACGGACGCAGATCCAAAGGAAAGGTAAAAAATATTTTCAGTATTTTTTTTTCGTTTCTTTGTCAACAATTTAATTCGATCCCTGTTTTTTTCTGGTATATAAATGTATGTAATAAAAGATATCTTTGCGATAACTACAAACAATAATAACTTAAGGTTGTTTCTTTTATCGTTTACATATAATAAAATCTTAAAGTTTTCGCTTATATTACTTATACCTGGTATTGTTTATTTCAGGGATACTATTAAAGCTTTCCAAAGTATTAGTCCCTGGACGCCACAGATTCTAGGGCACCCTAATCATTCATCGACGTCCCGCATTTCTATCCTGTTTGTTGTTTATATGTTCTATTGTTATTTTATGAAATGGCAAAATAAAAACATTGGTTGATATGAAAAAATATTGACTTGTTTTCTGGTTACTTACAGTATTGATACATGTATAATGAATATATAGATACATGTTAGGAATAAAGCAAGGACTTTGAAATTAGTATGTGATATATTCTCTCAACGAATACGTGTGATATGCAAGAAAGGAGCTTTACATCAGATAAATTAAAAATGTATCATGCGGCATATTCCAGGAAATTAATTTGAAAGCAAAATCAGTTACGTGGGTTGAAAGTTCAAAGGAAGGCCAGCAACTTATATGAAACTTTTACCAATACTTAAAGAGTTTTGATATGAGATTAACTAAAACTGAATAATTAAAAACAAAAATAATGTCAATAGTGCAGTTAATTTATTTAAAAAAAAAAACAACAGATATTATTGAATGAGAAAGTACATTTTCATAGATGGAATTTTTTACACAGAAATTGAGAAAAATTCTGAAGATGTTTAATATTTATAAGTGTCGGCATTTTCGGTATAAAATAACAAAAAGGTGGATGTGACGCTCGTGTTATAATAATTATTTTTTTTTCCTTGTGTTGCTTTTTTCCGATCATTTGCCTTAGATTCACCTCTGCTTCATTCCCATACTGAATGCTTAAAAAAAAATCTTTTTAAAAATATTTCTACAACTGCATGTTGTTTTGAATCATACACAATCTTATACTTGTATTATAATATTATACATGTAATACAAAATAGGACCCTTTAGCCCTAATACTAGTCATGATATATTAAAAGTCTACTTTCGATTTGTTTTCTGACAAATTAAAAACAAAAAGAAGATTTCTATTTAAAGGCCTTACCTGCCATATATTTTCTGAAAATGAAAAAAAAAGTGATCGACTCAAACTTAGGCGGATTGCATTCAAAATACCAAACCAAAGTAATTTGAAAGCAAAATCATTACGTGGTGTGAAAAGTTAAAATTTGCATGTTATAGTTATATCAGTAATTATTTGCGCTCGATCCACCTAGCTGTGCTTAATTCCCACCACTGAATGCTTTAAAAAATCAAAAAAAATTTCTTTTATGAAATTTTAATTAAAACTGCATGCTATTTTGAGTAGCAATATAACAATCATATACAATAGTAAACCCCTATGCGTGTCCATAGTATCTTAATGTCTACTTTCGATTTGTTTTCCTAAAAAAAAGAGGTTTCTGTTTATAGTCCTAATTTAATCTGCCGCATTTTCAGAAAATGATTGCATTCAAATAACATACCCTACATGAAGTGCATAGTAAATTAGACATGGGGAACCGTTCAGCATGTGCTGTGCAGGCCAGGAGATTCCTTTATGTTTCTGTTGCAGGAAATGCAGTGCTTTTAATCGTGCTAATAATTGTATACTTTTATCAAAACCATCTTATTCAGAGGAATGTTGATTTTTCACAGACACTGAAGACAACAGAATTAGAATTTCGCTCAAGACATCCCAATGTAACTGTGGTAGATGACACAGTGTGTTTAGAATGTAATTATCTGGGAAAAGACGTAAAGGTGGAAGAAACATTGTATACCAACATAAGTTATTCAGACTGCGGAACGCGGTTATGTTGTTTACAAGACAAAAGCATAGCTAAACTTCTGCGACAGGTAAACATTTTGAAGGGGAAAGAAAACTAAAAAAAAAAAAAACCTATGTCAGGTATAAGTAAGAATGAAATCCACCCTATGTCAAAAGGTCTATAAGAATAAAAAAGAAAACGAAAGTAAGCTGCGATAAAAATTCGCAGAAATCAAAGCAAGAATGAAAACTATCTTATTGATTCGATGTTATTTTTAGATAACTATTTTTAGAATTGATATAAAAATTAATTCATTCGACTGCTAAAAATAATCATACTATGTGTGGGCCTTAGTTTGGTTTGTCATTAAGCCTTTTGAAAGAATAATTACTTACATGCGCAACCATTAGCTGCAGAACTGTACACATAGCTCTCCGAAGAAAAATAATGACAGACCAATCTGTCAATATGTTCTTCGGAGAGCTACGTACCGTTCTGCAGCTATACAACCATATAAATTTTCATGTATCTTACTTTACTTTTCTCCATTACACTTTTTTTTTTACAAAGCGAGTTGTTCTTATGAAGGAAATGCAATTTTTTTTTTAAATTTACACATTCGTTATTTAAAAAAAGTATGTTAAAATAATAATTGGTAATTAATAAACAAATTGAGTATTTTTGAAAAACATTACTAAACTATGTACGGTAAAATACATATGACATTAATTTCTTTTTTATGATCTTCAGATAATGACCATTCGTGAAGCCGATTTAGATAACGGTAAGATGATTATAATTATCCTCATGTTATCCGTAGATGTAAGATGGTGGAATACATTAGAATATAACTTCCTTCATGAAAATTTATCAAAAAATAAATCAAAAAATGTTTTATTTCTTTTGCAAAAATGGTAAAAATGTACTTACATCTAGCATCATTTTCAATTTAGAAAGTGATTCACAATCTTTGTCGTGGTGGAGACAAAGACCAAATTCGGCACACTTGTATCTGAAGGACTGGGATCGGAGTCGTCTGCTCTGGACGGAAGTAAATAGAACCGGATCTGCTTTCTCTAATCTCAAAATCAAAGACAACAACAAGCTAGTCATCAAAGAACAGGGATTATATTTTGTATATTCCGCTTTGGTTTTTGATTTTGGAAAGATTAAGAAAGTTCCCCAAATTTACTATAACATCACTAGTTTTTTTCCTCCTGCTCCTCACTTTTCGCCTTTTATTGTGATGGGTAAGTATGGCGGATCCAGGTTTTCCGACAGACAACACACAGGGTACCTGAGTGGAATTGTAAAGCTTTACCCATCTCATCAGATCTCAGTTTCCATCAATGACCACAGATTCATAAATCCCACGGCGTATGGAAACTTCTTTGGTGTATTCAAACTTTAGAATGTTTTTAAACAACAGCTAGAGTATTGTTTGTTTGTTTTGTTTTTTATCAGTTGATATGTCTTAGAAACAGATGGCAATAATTCCGCTCAATAATACTTTAATGACTAAGATATGAAGCTTAATCAAAGCATATTAAAATACTCATTTGTTTCCTTTTTATACACATTGCTTTTATGCATTATGTAATGTAGTCAATAAAGAAGAGTAAAAAAAAGGTCCAAATCGGGCCTCTTCCGCTGCACCTATATTTTAAGGGTATTAACTAAAGTATATTTAGTGTTAATATATATGTTTATGATATTTGTTTTGATAATGTAGACCATAAAAGTCGAATTCGATGCCTTTTCAAAATATGAGTATTGGAATCGCCGGTAACGTCCTTGCGGTTGTCTTTAAAAGGAAGGGCATATGTACTAATATAACTATGCAGCTAATTAGCTTTATACATTTTTTTTGTTATGTAAGAAAATGTAAATAAACAATATTGTCTTAAATGATTAAAGTTAGTGTGCTCCCTGTCCTGATCGGGAAATAACGGAAAAATCGGTCGACAATTCAGTGTATAAATAATGGCCTAAAAATTAGTTTTCAAAAAGTCAGTCAGCCTTTGACTTAATGAAAGATTGTATTTGCTGACAAAGTCATTGTATCTACCATAGAACTTACGATATGGTGACTTTTAACTAGATTGCTGATATTCTTGTTTCATCAACTTGTTTGTCAATAACTTACCTCGTTATAACTTAAAGATAAAAACGAAGTACTGTATCTACCCTCGTATGCAGACAAGCAATACATTCTTTGCTTTCTCCTTTTTCCGTTCGGTTTACAGCTACTGATTTTTTTTTTTTTTCATTTAAAAAAAAATTTAAAATGTTAAAAAAACCTTAAAATTTAAGTCAATTATCTTGGTCATCGCTCACATCAGAGCACGATCAGGCAAATAACAAAGGACTGAGTACGTTAAAACCACTCGGCGGCCCTGTCTCTAAATTTTATGATTTTTTTTTTCTTACAAACATGCTTACGATGTGTCCTTTTAAAATCATTTTTTTTAAATTACTTCTTACCGCTTTTCCGTCAGAGGTCTCGAAAAGTGGATAGTTTTCTTTAAAAATTACAACTTTTTACGTGATAACGTCTTCACGGAGTTACTGATTTTAACGTTACGTAAAATGAAATCTGTAAATTCTCTAAACCGGAAATTATTTACTTTTATTGTTCGCAAAATGTCTATGAAATTCCATTAAAGTTTTTAAGATACATGTAAATGAATCAATTTTAAAAAAAAGTTTTATAAAAAAAAGTGTGCAATTGGTTTAAGATCCATTTCTCGATAAACAAAACATTTCATATAGCCAATGCTAATTATAATTCTACTTTAAGTGACAAACACACTACTCTGCATGTAAATACTCATTATTAGATTAACAAACTCGAAAAATTATGCACAAAATTTACATGCTGACAGCTGCGAAGAAATATGCCGATTGAAAATGCACACGAATTCTCGGGAACGGACCCAGAAGCCTGTAGTACACCCTCACGTGCATACATTTGTAATTGAAGATTATAAAAACAAGAAGTCTCCATTATGATATTGTATGTATAATGTACATAGTTTATCTACGTATTTAATATATTCAAAAGTGAATTATCTTACAATACTGCTAAAATTTCGTAAACAAACCTTCTGCCTAGAAAAGCTTTCCCTTTGAAGGTTCCCTATAGAGTATAACTTCCCACTGATTTGTTATACATATTAAAAAAGCCCCCCCACCCCCGTCCATATCCATTTCCTATGTAAATATTCAACAGGAGAAAACTTTCGACCTTTATATTTTTCCTTTTTGTTATGATTTTTAATGAAACACCAACAGTTGAGTAAAACAACCTTGCTGATAAATAAAAAAAAAAAAGTCGAATTATTTCTTTGGACATTATAAAATTGAATCTATTTACATGTATGGAATAGATATTGGTGATAATGGAACTTTTTACACAACTGTTTAAAAAAAAATGATGTATTTATAAAAAAAAATTATATAGATAAACGTCCAGCAAGGTTTCATGTTTTCTAATAAATTAACAGTGTATTAATATTAAACATGGTAAGATCAATTAATGTGGCTTTGCTTAGGTTAATGCACTGTTGAAAAAGTTCGGAATAACCTACCACCTGGAGGTGCAATACGCAGTTTCTAAATCCATAGGGATCTTTGAAGTTTCTGTCTTAAGAACACAACATGGCGCTCATTGGATGAAACAACAGCCAACTTTGGTCCGGTGAAACGACGAAAAATGACCGTAGAATATTGACCGGGGGTGGGGTGAAATTTCTAGTAGAACAAGAGGCCCATGGGCCACATCGCTCACCTGAGCACATTGGTTAGGCAAAAGCACAAATCAGTTCAGTATTGAAAAGATTACCGGGGGGGGGGGGGGCTTGAATTTTAAACTACCTGATGATGCTTCCATGTCAATACAATATAACAAATGGCTTTGTTGTACTTGAGAAGTTTATAAAAAAAAATTCCCATATATTCCCTTGTAAAAATTTGATCCCCCATTGCGGCTCCTCCCTTTCCCAGGGGTCATCATTTGAAACAAACTTGAATCTACACTACATGAGGATGCTTCCATATCAATATGACTACACATAGCTTTTTTTGTTCTTGAGAAGAAAATTTTTTTCTATATGTTCTTATGTAAAACTTTCGATCCCCCATTGGGCCCCACCCTACCCCTGGGGGTCATCATTTGAACAAAATTGAATTTACACTACCTGAGGATGCTTCCATATCAAAATGACTAAACATAATTTTCAGTTCTTGAGAAGATGATATTTTTCTATATGTTTTCCTATGTCAAATTTTCGATCCCCCATTGTGGCCCGACCTTATCCCCAGGGCCTTCATTTTAACAAACTTGAATCTTCACTACCTGAGGATGCTTCCATATCAAAATGACTAGTCATGGCTTTGCAGTTCTTCAGAAGAAGATATTTTCCTATATATTTCTATTTAAGACTTTGATCCTCCATTCTGGCCCCACCCTACCCTCGGGGTCATGATTTGAACAAAATAGAATCCACACTACCTGAGGATGCTTCCACATAAATATGATCAATCAGGGCTTTGCTGTTCCTGAGGAGAAGATTTTTAAATTTTTTCCTATATTTCTATGTAAAACTTTGATCCTCCATTGTGGCCCCACCCTACCCCTGGGGGTCATGATTTGAATAGATTTGAATCTACACATACCTGAGGATGCTTCCATATAAATATGACTCATCATGGCTTTGCTGTTCTTGAGAAGAAGATTTTTAAATTTTTTCCTATATTTCTATGTAAAACTTTGATCCTCCATTGTGGCCCCACCCTACCCCCGGGGGTCATGATTTGAACAAATTTTAATCTACACTACCTGAGGATGCTTCCACATGAGTTTCATCTTTCCTGGCCCTGTGGTTCTTGAGAAGAAGATTTTTAAAAGATGCTACACATTTTTCACTAATTCTTTATTATCTCCCCTTGAAAGAGGGCGTAGCCCTTCATTTGAACAAATTTGAATCCCCTTCACCCAAGGATACTTTGTGGCAAGTTTGGTTAAAATTGGCCCAGTGGTTCTTGAGAAGAAGTTGAAAATGTTAAAAGTTTACAGACTGACAGACAGAAAGACGGACAGACAGACAGACAGACGGACGCCGGACAAAAAGTGATCAGAAAAGCTCACTTGAGCCTTCGGCTCAGGTGAGCTAAAAATGATTCCCCGGTCAATATTCTAGGACTCCACACACACACATTGAAAAATGACCCCCATAGAAATCGGACCCCTAACTTTTCACTATATAATGTAATAAAACCTTTATAAATGAGATGTGATACTCATTCATCCCATGGAGGGTCGGCGAAAGCCCAGAGATAACTGCGTCTCCTGATTTTTTATACTCTCGTATGTTGGGGAGGAAGCAGAGTGCCTTCCCCTCCTTAAAGCCACTTCTCAATACTAGCATCATATACAATGTAATGTATGAGGAATGTTTTTTGCTTGCATCCCAATATGTTTTTGCTTGCATCCCAATATGTATGAGGTATGTATATATACAGGCGCGGATCCAAGATTTTTTCCTGGGGGGAGGGGGGGGTTCCATCCCCTTCAAAACAAATTTTCAACCCAAAATTCCTTGACAAGCAAAAAAAAAAAAACAAACAAACAAACAAAACAAAAAAAACAAAACAAAAAAAAAACGTGAAGTCCATTTCCCAGATGTGATAAACACTTATTTTTCGGTGGTGATGGTGGGTCCACATTTTCGGGGGGTTGGGGTCTAAAGTCATTTTGAATTGGATTTAAATGCTTAAAACTTATCACTCTCTACCATCGGCTCATACATTCACCTCTGTTATTGGCTCCCGTATATCACAGTGTAAAGCACAAGAAATAGTGCGTTTGTTTTAATTCATTATACATGTAATTAAATTCCTGCACTAATGTTTGTCTTTTAAGGTATATATTTACTAAGTAGATCTAGATCTATTAGTTAAATTTGAAATAATCCTTGGAATATCATGTTTTTTACCTTATGTCAAAAATCTTGACGCGAGCCCATTGCAGAGGTGTCTGAGAGAGGAACGAACGACAACTCTGCAAGGGAGATCGAAAACTTGTTTTTACTGGTACTTTTATTTTCAAATTCTATAAGCTAATATTTATTTATTTTTAAGTAGGTATGTGGGTTTTTTTTTTTTTGGGGGGGGGGGGAGGGGGGTCGTTTTCACAGTATGCATTTATTTTGGAAACATACTAATTTTGTTTTACACTATGTTTAATCGATATCGATTAATTGCTTTTATTTTTAAATTTATTAATTAATTTGTCAAATAATAAATGTATTTTGTATATTCAACTATTGATTCATTGGGGTTGTATGTTTTTCAGTTTATTTTGTGGTTCCTTCGCGAATTCGGTCGCGAAAGGACTGCAAATATTAGCACTTCGCGCAAGTCTTGCGCCACAGTTAAATTTG